TGTGTTCCCTCCTTGACATAACTGCAGATACTCAAGGTTCTGTCTCTTATACACATCTAGATGTGTATAAGAGACAGCTCTCTCTCTCTCTCTCTCTCTCTCTCTCTCTGTGATTGAGCTTTGATATTCAAAATGTCACAATGTATGCTCGTTGCCAGGTGCTTGCTGACAGGTTCCCCTGATTAGCTGCAAGGTGACTGTCATTACCCACTGGCTGTCATTACGTGTAAGACTGATGAGCGGGTCGCTTTATTCGTCAGTGAGTCAGTGACTCAGTGAGTAAAAAAGAGATTGCCTATATTTGTACCTGCTATTTTGTACGAGGTGCCGGGAATGGCACCAAATGAGCCTCGCTCCATTACTCACCACATGCTCAAATGACAGAAGTTATGGCGCTGTATCTGTCCATGTTATAGCGGAACAGTCATTGAATTTCGTTCTCGTTTTGCAGAATTGGTGAGTAGTGGAGCGAGGCCTAATATCTGTGATTTAAGTTCATTTAACCAGTTAGCTATAATGTGACTTGCCATGTTCAAATTTCAATTGTTCATCAGACAGTTGGCGTCGTAGGGGTCTGATGGTGTATGATTGGTGCAGTTTCCTGTAACTAGTTGGATCAAATTTGATGCATAACAAATTAATAATGGATATAAGAGGACTGCACTGTTTTATATTTGTCACAGCCCCTCGTTTGTTGTCCTCTTCTACCTCCCTCTGTGCCTACGGTTTACCGGGCAGCTCTGTTTGACGATATAGATAAGAAAAAAGAGGGAGGGAAAACACAAAGAGGACTGCGAGGCAAACCCGGCAAACCCAGCACTTGTACGCATGCGTGATTGCACTGTTTTCCTGTATCTTGCTGAAGAAGCTGCTGTGTTTCTAGCTTAGGTTGAGTTTGGCGGTGAAAAAGGACAGCAAAATTCAAAATTGTCTTTGAAATTCTTGTGCACATAGCTCGCATGGATATAGCTGTGCAAGGATGAAACACACAAATTGAGAAAGGATCCACATTCGTTTCCTGAAAAAGAAAAGAAAAAGAAAGAACTGCTAGATGTATAATGCTTCCTGTTCATTTACCAAAATAATACCATAGCCCTCAAATATCTGAAAGCCTGTCACATAATGTCATTAGTGCAGTTTGTCAAACTATATTGTTGAATAACATCATTGCTCCCTTACCCGCATTGCTCTCTCTCTCTCTCTCTCTCTCTCTCTCTCTCTCTCTCTCTCTCTCTCTCTCTCTCTCTCTCTCTCTCT